ACACGAAGCAGAAAATGTTTCATCCTTTGAAACTATGCATAAAACAGAACAAGTCAGAAAGGTGCAAACCCCCACGTCTTCATGAACATTTGAGGAACAGATACAACATTTAACTGCATAGGATACTTTAAATGCTTCTGGCACCCAGGCCTACTTGTAAAGGCCAATAAATACCCAACTGAGGCTGAGGTAAGAGAATTACAAGTTAGAGGCCAGTCTAGACCACTTAGTGAGACTCTCTCTCAAAATAAGAAGTAAAAAGAGACCTGGAACATTGTTCGATCCAGGTTTGATCCCCTGCACCTACATGGTGGTCATAACTACATCTGTAACTCCAGTACCAGGGGATCCAATGTCTTCCTCTGTCTTCCATGGATACCAGGCATGCACATAATGCACATAAATACATGGAGGCAAAACACACACACACACACACACACACACACACACACACACACACACACACGTGATAAAAGTAAGAGCTGGGGAGGAGCTAAGCAGAAGCATGCTTGCCTAGCATGTGTAAGCCTCTAGGTTCAACTTCTAGTACCCCGAAATAATAAATAAAATTCTCCTGGAATTTTATTTTTGTCTTGAAGATGGTTGTGTTGTTGATCTGTCTTACTCTGAAGCCAAGCTGCCTTTAAACATACCGTCCTCCTAATTCAGTTTCCTAAGTGCTGGGCCTGCAGGTGCATACCATACTGTTAAGGGGGTTTCAGAGACTGATGACATGACTGGAGATAATGTAGCTCTTCACCAATTGCTGTGTTGTAAAATATTTCCACAGAGTGTTAGCCAGGTCCACAAGCTAGAGGGAGTATGCTGGAGCCTCCTCAACCTACTGTCTGCCTTTCTGGCCTCCTCAATAGAAAAATGATACTTGCTGAGGATGCCTGTGACTACAGAAGTTTCCATGGCTATCCTAGGCCTGCAGGCCAACAGACCAAGCAAGTGCAGTCAGTTTCTCTGAGCCAAACTCACCTCTACATGCAGACAATTTACTCATCTATAGAAAATGGTCTGGCTGGGCGGTGGTGATGCACGCCTTTAATCCCAGCACTTGGGAGGCAGAGGCAGGCAGATCTCTGTGAGTTTGAGGCCAGCCTGGTCTATAGATCGAGATCCTGACAGGCACCATTTGCCAAATTTCATTTCTTTGAGTACCTTTTGGGTTACTTCCTGCAGGTAGTGGTGTTTGGTTATTATAAAGCACAAGTAGGACATTTCCTTATAATTTCCTTGGCTTGTTGCCAAGTGATAGAAAATCTTTTTTCAAACCTTTGTTATTAACATGGTGTTTCTTATGAAATTTTGGAGCTTTTAGCACACTTCCTACCAATAGCTGGTCAATTTTATCATTTCTTTGTGCTAGAGGGCCTGGTAGACCCACATGGGATCTGACATGTGTTATATACAAGGGATGATTTCTATTTCTGATTATTTCTTATAATTGAATAAATAACAAAGTCAATTCTGAATCATCTGGAATAACTTCAGCAGTTCCCATATGTAAAACAACTCTTTCTGCATACTGAGAGTCAGTAACTATATCAAGAGGTTATGAAAATTTTAATAATATCACGAGAGTAGCATATAATTTTGATTTTTGAACAGAATCATAAGGGCTTTGAGCCACTTTACTTAAATTTCCTGATTTAAAACCTGCCTTTCCTGATTTGTTTGTATGAGTATAGAATGTAGGGGCTCCAGATATTGGTGCTCCCCGTACCAATTGTGAGAAAGGACCCAAGTGATTCTCTTTATAAATTGAAGTCTCTCGCTTTTGGGATATTTGTTGTTAATCTCTCCCAAAAAATTACTGCAAGCTCTTTGTCAATGTTCATTTTTCTGCCCATAAGAGGAAATTTCAGCATTAGTAAAAGGTACTACAATTTCTGTTGGGCTCATTCCTGTTAATTGATGAAGTCTCTCTTTTTCTTTTAGAATCAATTCAGAAACCTTTTCTACATAGGTCTTTAATTTTTATGTTCTGTTTGTGTGACAAAAATATTCATTCTAGAATATTATCTTCTCTCTGCATAAGAATTCCAGTAGGAGAGTGGGTAAAAGGTAGAATAAGTAGGATGCAATCAAGTTCTGGATCCAAATGATCCACATGTGCATCTTGTGATTTTTTTTCTCTACCAATTCTCTCTCAATCACAGCTGTTAATTTTCTTCAACTATTTATGTCCTTCTCACCTTGTAAGGTTTGAAATAAATTACTTAGTTCTTGAGCTGTTATTCCGATTGTGGGTGGTAGTTAGCAACTGTCTCCCAGTAAGTGTTGAAAGTCATTCCTGATTCTTCGGTCTTGTCCCAAGCATTCAAAGCTGCTGTACGGCACAGGGCCAAGGTGTGATCATCAAATGTCTTTCCACATCTTCATAACAGTCCCTCACCAAGCATTTGATCTTGGGAAATCTTCTAACCTCTAACCCTGCCTTGCTGTTCCATGGCCCTGGCTTCATCTCTCCACCATGTGTTCCATTGTAACTGAGAACCGGATTACAATCCTGCTGCAACTAAATCTTTCCAGTCTCGTGGGATAATTCTGAGTGGCCGATGACTTTAACATCTGCTTCACAAAAGGTGAGTGCATACCATATTAAACTATTGCTTCTGTAGGATCCAGTTAACTTCCGCATTCCCTGGGGATATTTATCATCTGGTGTTCATTCTTGAATGGTAACTGCATAAACTAGGGTTGGTTTTCAAATAACCTTGGGATGCTCCTCTCTCACTTCATAATATAATGGTGAGGTTGGTTCTCCTCTAAATGCTGTTCCTGAATATTTTTATTATTTGTTTCTAAAGCTTTTATCTTATCAATCAAAATTGTATTATTCTCCCAAGTAATTATTTGTAAAGCTTACATATTATCAGTAGTAGACTTTTCTAAGACTGGTATCTTATCAATTTCTCATATTTGGTAGTTATCAAAGCATTTTTAAGGATAAAATGTGAATTACCAGACTGCTAATAACTGTGGTAAACATTATATTGATCCAAGCTAAGTTGTTCATCTCATTTATTTCATCTATTTTCATAACAGCAGTGAATAGGGTCCTAATTCCCTGCATTGTGATACTGCCAATCGTCAACATGGGGAAGGTTTTTAAATTGTCTTTTCCTCTTATTATTTTACTTTTTAAAATTTTTTTTATGTATTTATGTATTTAATAGCCTAGTTCACCGTTTAAAAGTTCCCAAGTATCTTATCAGTTGTGATGCTGCTCCTCGGAGGTCTGGGCTGTGGTCTTCTCTGGAGGCGTGAGTTGTGTGAAGGTATTTAGATGTAGTGACGATGTTTGGCCAGCAGGCGGAGGAGGTGAGGCACCAAGGTAGCTCAAGGTCAGCACACTAAGCCAATGCTCAAAGCAGCTGGACCACACTACCCTGGGCTTGTGAGGAGCAGAACTCGTATGCGGCGGAGGGGACGGCGGCACCCCGAGCGATGCTCAAGGACCAGAACTTGTCCCACGCCTGTGCAAGCCGAGCAGAACCGATTCGGGAGGACACCCGATGGCTGCAAGCGCGGGCGGGAGAGCGCGGGGAACTCCGGGGGTCGCGGTGGAGGCGCGCGGGGAGCTCCGGGACAGACCCGCTCTAGAAGTCGCGGAGTGCCCCACTTCGGGCACCAGATGATGAAATTTTCTTTATGGCTTATTAAAATGCAAAATCCCGTCCACAAATATTAAAAAACAAAAGAGGAACCTGAGTCAAATCACAAGCCACCGCTAACATCCTACAGGATTCGTTTCCTCGCTCGAAAAGGCCGCCTCTTCCTTGGTCACATCCATCACCAATGAAAACCCGCCTCTTGGATCAAAACTCTCCTTTCAATTGGCTAGTGGACCAGTGACAGACTTCCCATAACAAAGGTGGCCACAGAGCCATACCTCCCTCGGATCTGGAGTCCCTTGATAAGAAATCAGGAAGCTGCCAGGTGGTGCATGGTTTAATCCCAGCAGAGGCAGAGTATCTCTGAGTTCCAGGCCAGCCTGGTCTACAGAGCTAGTTCCAGGACAGCTAGGACTGTTACACAGAGAAACCCTGTCTTTAAAAAACAAAACAAACAAACAGTTGGACCTCTGTGAGTTCGAGGCCTCACACAGGACAGCCTGGTCTACAGAGCGAGATCCAGGACAGGCTCCAAAGCTACATAGAGAAACCCTGTTTCGGGGGG